TGGTACCTAACGGGCTTCACACACGAGACAGACCTCTGGGGAGGAGTTTGCTCATAATTTTTGGAATAGTTAAGTCTGCTAGTAACTACGTTTTTGTAGGCCGTCTCTCGCTTTTTTCTGTATGGCTGTAAAGCCATACTTAATGTACGCTGCCTCGTACCTTCTGATTTTAATTGGCCAGGAGTTCTTAGGTTTTTTTGCAGCAGTGTCCTCCACAGCAGGGCTGTTGGTCGGTTCCGTTGACCTGTTCTTTGTCAAAAACCTGTCCATTTTGAGCTAGCTAGCTTGCTCGCTTGAGGAGCAAAGCAGCTTGATAAATGGCGCAAACCGCCAGGTCTAAACATGACGTCATGGCGTCGTGAACGATGTTTTGACTGGTAGGCAATCAGAAAAATGACTATGGCAAATTATATGTTCCATTATTATAAATTATATTTTATAATTATGATTTTTAAAAAAAAATCAGATTTAAAATATTTATTAAAAAATAATTAGAATTTTTTTTTTTTGTCTTTCCTTTTTTTTTCTTATCTTCCCTCCAATTTTCTGAGGCCCCCCTAGCGCCCCCTGGCGGCCCCCCAGGGGGCCGCGGTCCCCACTTTGAAAACCACTGCCCTAGGCGACCGCCTGTGTTGCCTATGCCAGTAACACAAATACTACAAATCTACATAACAAACAATCAAAAAGGAAAAAGGGTTTCCACTTATTATTATAAAAAAAAAAAATACTATTTGTATATAGGGGAAACACTGATACTATTAAGGTCTTTTGCAGAAAGTTCCTTGAGACGCATCAGATATTTGAGGTATGTTAATACTTAATAGTCATACTGATAAGAGATTCCCTGAAAGTAATTTTCCGTTTGAATTGGCACAACTCTAAAATTATCTTTTTTTTTATCACCTTAGATTAACTATCTTTGAAATAATGTGTGTTTATTGCATGCTGTAATTCAAAAACTGTGAATAGAGCATAGCATTTGCATTGCATTTTGGGCCAATGGGGAAAACGTGCAGAGTAAAATTATAGCAAAAATCCAGAAAAAAGAGTCTTATGTAATTTTGAAATTCAAATTTATTTGAGTAATCCAGATCTCTAATTACGTTATGATGGCACATCTCAACAGTTGGTGTTGCATAACCACGTTGTGTTGAAAAATCACTATATGCTGCCATTTTATTTGAGTTCTCAGTAAGACGTTTTTGTACATATAATGCACTCACAAAAGATGAAAAAACATGTCCATGGCAGGTTCTCTGTGCTATGGTCTGTTTAAGTAAACTGCTAAGTACTCGGTAAGTATCACAGAATCAGACACAGCTAGAGGAACATTGACAATTTATAACAATTTGTAAAAAAATCCAATGATATTTAAGGTGTTCTCTGTAATGACTTTTGGTTTTCTAACCCATTTATGTAATTATTCTATCTCTTGAACTGAAGTTAAAATCAAAATGCTTTTCTGTTTTCTCTTTTTGTTTCCTTTAAGGAAAACCCTCTCAGATCATCACAGAGTCATTGGCCACATTGTATGGGAACTAAACAGAATGCATTTCAACCTTTTTTTACTCATTCTAACAATTTTCTCTATGTGCTTCTTGTGTCCGCAGCAAATAATGGCAATCAAAGGATGGCGCCAGCAAGCGGCCTCACTCCCTTGTCTCCCTCCGAGTCCTTGCACACCAATCTCGTCACCCCGGAGGTTCAAAGATGAAGGTGAGTGGGTGGGAGGAGGAGGGGGAGGAAGGTAGAGGCGGGGATGCAGGATGAAAGCGGGGTGGAAATACGCCTGGCCGAGCACTNATTTAAATTGGATATTCTATCCAACATCGATATAGCTTCTTTCTTTCACAGCAGCATTGGATCAGTTCAGTTGTGCAGCATTGGATCAAAACAAAATAAAGCTTTTTATTTTGTTTTGATCCAATGCTGCACAACTGAACTGATCCAATGCTGCTGTGAAAGAAAGAAGCTATATCGATGTTGGATAGAATATCCAATTTAAATAAAAAAATAACCTTAAGGGACAACTTGAATGCTTTTTTTTCTCTTAATGCATTGCATAAAGATCGGATCGGGAAAAATCGGTATCGGCAAATTGTCAAAATCAAATGATCGGAATCGGATTTTGAACAATTGAAATTTTTCAAAAAAAGGTGATCGGGACATCCCTAGTGGAGACTATCCTGCTGAACAAACGTGTAAGTATCATAAAAGTGTGTTTGCCACTAATCTTATATACTGCCATATTCCACTTTTTTTGTTGAGGGAGCTCTTGTGAAGTAACTTACAGGTCAGTCTACAAAACTCCATTATCACATACCTTGTCATCGATGGTGTCAAACTTAGTGAGAACAATCCCATCAATGAGGCGAGGCTTTTCAGACATGGAGTGGTCGGCCAGAGCCTGGTTGAACTTAACCTGAAGACACGGGGAAAGGAAACATGAGTCACTCGTGGAAAAACTGGTGACAGCTGAGTAAACATCTGTCCACCACACAGATTACTGGAGCAACACTGCCCTCTGCTGGAGAGTTTTTAAAACAGCAACATGAAAACGAACCTGTTTGGTAAGTGCACGTTTTGTTCAGCCGGATAATGTGGATAATCGATCGATTTATGACTGTTTTACAAAACGTGCATTTATCAAACAGGTTTGTTTTCCACAGACCTTATTTCGAGCTATTTTCCAAATACCAAAGCACCACTCTATTAGTGTTGTTGATTTAAGGGTGAGCTGAAACTAAGCCTTCAGTCTGTGCATGAAACTAAATCTAACGTAACAAAGGGAATCAATATACTGCTTTCCACATTTGAATCCAACGTGTGTGTTCTTACCAGCTGGTCAACTGCCTCATTGCCAACCAGAGCCTCTCCAACAAACAGTACTAGGTCAGGCATGTTGATCGCGATGAGTTTGGCCAGCGCTGTCATCAGGGGCGTGTTGTCCTGCATACGCCCAGCAGTGTCCACCAGCACCACGTCGAAAGTCTGGTTGCGGGCTGAAGAGTTGGAGTACATGTTATTTGACCATTTAGGTGGCATTTATGCTTAATGGGAATGGCATGTGAAATCAACAAGGAACAAAATCTTAACAGCTAGGAATACAGAAGCGTAATTTATCGAAATCGCTAAATGGGCTAGTCCATACTTTAAATGCTAATAAGTGTTAAATTATGAATGGATTTTGGAGCTGCAGATATATCCTGGCCTACAAATCATTTACTTCAGACTTAACAAAATAAAATACACCCTGATCAGATTAACATATATATCCAATGATAATAAAAGTAATCTTGTAAAAAAAAAATCAATCCTTCCAATACAGTGAAGCATAACAAAATGATAATCGCAATTTGTTATTTATCCAAATTGTGCAGCCTTAGTTAGGAAATAGATATTTTACCATAGGCAATGGCCTCCATGGCGATCCCAGCAGCATCCTTCCCGTAGCCCTTCTCATAGAGCTGGACCACGGGGCGGCCCCCGTGCTGCTCGGGGGGGTGCAGAGAGTTCAGGCGGCGCTGGTGAGTGCGCAGCTGCTCCACGGCTCCGGCTCGGAACGTGTCACAGGCCGCGATCAGCACAGTGAAACCGTTCTCTATCAGCCAGAAGGAGATCTGGAGGACCAGGGAGGAGTTTACATGAACATGTGTGGGGCACAATGTGGGCACGTTTCAATGCAACACATGAACGCTGAAGAAAATATGGCTACAACTTGCGCTGGGCAAAAATACAATAATCAATTCACTTTTTTCACAAAAGACAATTTGACAATTTAGCTGTTTGAATTCAGGGTTGTAAGAAATGTAAGGCTGTTTTAAATGCTTAATGATGCTGAATATACTTTAAGTAACCAGAAGGGTAGTGATATTTAAGTGAGAAGAGATATGAAATTCCTTTGTGTGCATTAGTTAAGTTTCATTTTTGTATTCCTATTAATCTTAATACTATATTTCAAATATCACTTAAACAACATCAGTTTGCAGAAATAAATGCAAAAAAGGAACAAAAACTGCAAAAACATGTTTTGTTCCTCCTCAAGCTTCCGACATGACAAGTGAAATGACTGCTATCGAAAAGCAAAAAGCATATGACTGCACATGACCTATAATATTCAATTATTTAATATCATAGCATTATACTCATCTCCTTGACATCATTCTGAAATTATTTAAGTATTCACTTTAGTGTGGTTTACCTGTAGGCCATCAACAATGATTTAACACTACACTAGTATATCTGGGTTAAAGCAGCTATTTCAATCTACTGTGTTATGCACGTTAACAATTTCCCAAACTTAATTGGGATTTTGTTATGCTGTTTATTTTTAATTAACATAATTACTATGTTACACCCAAGAGGCTCCAAGTGCTCTTGGGTGTTCCCTTTAGATGACAGGCATGTCTAAACATGTTCTCCTCACATAGAGATTGACGTGACCTCTTACAAAACAATGCCAAACCTACCCAGTAAACCCCTGAGCCTAGAACTAGTTATCCGTGTCAGCAAACAAAGAGGCTCCTACAGGAAATGGTCTAATTGGAGTACATGTCATTACACTCAGTGCTTGAATTTGAATACAAAAGGTGCCAGTACTCTGAATCAGCAACTGTTTCAAGTCCATTTATTTATACAGCCCAAAAACAAGTATTTGGCTCAAAGTCATAGTATATCTTATAATGCTGGTGGGTTTGTCTCTTTACTGTATATTTTAGAAAGGCTCACTGTACTTAAACAAAATGACTCAGGGTGCATCTGAGATTAGAGGGGGTGCAGTGGTAAAGTGCTATTTTTATAAGTGGGGAGTGGACCTGACACCCTCTAGGGGGGTCCGGGGGCATGCTCCCCCGGGAAGATTTTTTTTTTAAATATTGAAGTTAGATGCATCAATCTGGTGCACTTTGAGAGCAACATGAAGAGATATATGGATACCTCTCAACATCCATAATGAAACAACTGTAAACAGATTTACTTTTTCTTTATGGATATAAAAGAAAGTAAAGCCTGACTCCTGGCGGCTGGTGAAATGACTCCTCGTCCCTGAGTACACTTAACATCTTTCAGCAGGAAAGGAGAGAGGGAATCCTTATCCGGCGACAACCGTCTTTTCACACTATTATTAAGCCACGCTAACATCTAACGTTATGTGATGTCTTTTCTGCTCTAGTCTATCGCTGCAGCGCGTCATGAGATGCGTCATGAGATGCGTCATGAGGTGCGCCATGAGATGCGCCATGAGATGCGTCATGAGATGCGTCATGAGATGCGTCATGAGATGCATCTAGGGCTGTATCTCAGGTCGATTAAATGGAATCCTTGCGTCCCTCACTTGCGTTGTTTCCCTGCGTTTAGTACTGCGTACCGGCCCAATTCAAGCACTGATTACACTATTAACACAGAAAACTCACCTTGGCCAGGTTGGTGGACTTCCCCACCCCGTTGACCCCACAGAAAGTGATGACAAAAGGCCTCCGCTGGCTCTGCGCATCCATCACATCTCTCAGAATATCCACCCTCCGCTTGGGCTGCAGGATCTGCACCAGAGAGCCCTGCAAGGCCTGCTTTACAGTTGAGGCCACAGCTACACAGAAACACACACAAACACACATTCAAGTTGTGCTTAGATCCCCCCCTTCATATTTAGTGACACAAACTGTATCATATAGTTATACTACATAATTATAGCTCGGCTGAGGTGAGAGCACCAGAAAGGGGACATATTATCAATATGATTATACAACTTTTAAGGCCCTTCATGATTGGCTATGAGCTGTTATCAAGATACTGCCTATTATGTTATTTAATTGGAAAACACTACACAGACTGGCCAGTTTGTTCTTTTAGTATTGATGTATTGCTAAATCTAAAGCAAAAAGGCTCATATTATAAATAATCTACAACGTCAAATAAGCACATGGTGTCGCAACACTTCTCATATTTGACTTTATAATATGTGAGATGTTTACAAGTACAACATTCTTGTCTGGGCAACATTTTAAATCCTATCCTGTGCAGATGAACCCGAGGGAAAGTTCCTGTTTTAATCCATTTACTGCAGTAATCATCAAGACGATGATGTGGAGCACCATTACTGTAATCACATTACTTTCCCCAGCATGTAGACTGGTGCGCTCAGAGAAGGACGAGTACATTGCATTGAAATAATGATAATTAAAAGGAAGTGGGAGAGGATGCTGCGAAGGTTACTTACTGGTGAATGTGCCCATGACTTTGCCCTCCAGTTTGATGGCTACAGAGTCACAGAGCTTGGAGGAGATGTCGGCTGCGACATTCTTTGCTATAGGATTATAAGAAGAATGAATAACAGAAAAGTTCATTTTAAATGTTGAAGAAAAGGAAAGGGGCAGTTAGAGATATGTGATGTCGTACCGATGAGGTGGTCCTTCATCTTCTCCAGAACTGGCTCCATGTCCTCCCGGGTCAGGCTCTTGGAGCCCACGAGGCCCTTGAGCATCCCGAACATGCCCCCAAAACCCCCGCTCTTCTTGGAGCTGAAAAACAAAAGAATTGACTATTATTTATATTGATTTAATTTTTTTGACTTACCGGAATTTTCGGACTATAAGCCGCGCCTTTTTTCCCATTTTTCGACCCTGCGGCTTATATAACGGTGCGGCTAATCTATGGATTTGTACAGCTAACGGCCACTAGGGGACCTCCTAAATCTATGGATTTTACAGGTTACAGTCCACCACCTTTAACTCTATGGGCTCTATGGCCGGTCCGCGCCCCCCACCTTTAAGCGGCGGGCTCCAGCAGGAAAAGCTGGAGGCCGGAAAAGAGTGAGACAGGTAGCGCGCAAAAGTAAAAGTGGAACCGAGAGTGGTACGAGAGACAGTACGAGAGCGAGACAGTTTGTCCCCGTACCACTGGTTGAAAACCACTGCTGTAGATCACTGCCGGTACGTGCGCTGGGAGCGCACCGTTTAAGTTTGAAAGTTGAAAAGTGTGTGTGTCTGAAACGCTATGTGATACAGTACAGTTTACACAGCACACTGTTCTGTAGCTACTATTGCACTAAATGGTAACACTTGAATACGTTATGCAAATATGCAACTTGTTTGTTGAAATGTTAATAAATGGGAGCTTCCTCAAACAGCCATCTCTTTCCCGACAATCCCCTCTGTGCACGAACCCTTAC